CAGAAGATTATCGCAAAGCAAGATCTCGTCACCGAAGACGGAGAGCAGGCATGGTTGTGCTTGAACAAACCTGAGCCTCAGAAAGTCCTTCAACACTTAGTATTCAATCTAAGAATAGCTTTGGCTGGTCAACCACAGTCGTACAACAGTTCCTCCTCGCGATTGACTGAGGCTAAGGTTGGGGGCAGCAGTCATGATCACTGGCGACAAGCCTTTGACGCGTTTTCCGATTCACATCACATTATCTTGCATACACTCTGAGTGCTTTGAGAAAAGCATCCCCCAACAGTGCTCAGTTGGTGAATTAACCCATATATCATATTTATGTCATAGATCAATTATAACATTTGAGCACAGATGCACCATACAAATGATCATGGACGCAACCATGTGTTCAATTGAAGATTGCAAGAACACTTGCTAAGGGTATTCTTGGACTGAACTGCCCCTTGCTACTTGCAAGAGCGAATATGGTGTGCTAGTGGCTTTAGGTACATTTTGGTACCGCTTGCTACTAGAAATCAAAAGGCTTCCCTTTTGACTAGAATCTGTCGTTTCATCTGTCTCATGCGATGCTTCAGTTGAATCATTTGCCTTTGCAGGTCTTTAAGGGCACGCCCGGAAAGCTGACGGAACGGGCAGGGGACGCCTGGCCCAGGAAACGGGAGATCCACTGTCGGTGAGAAGGACGGAAGTCAAAGGGTTTGATTGGGTGGCTTGGAACCATGTATGTGGTTTGGCGGTTTGGTTACATGTTGTACTGGCTTCTTCTGAGGCAACGCCCAACAAAAACCAATGGGTCTCGCCCTGTTTCCTTTCTTACCAGCCAAGAACCTGGCAGAAGGTGGTAGCGAGTCGCAGCATACCTCAGGTTTGATCATAGCGTTCTTGATCGTTCGAACGAGCATTTCTTGATGTGTTGAAACCGGTTAAGCTGAGCTGGACTGAGATTGGCAAGAGCCAGATTGCAGCAGCGCGATTCCCCGGATATGACGATGAGGCACGCGGAACCCAAGTGAATGAACCAAGAAAAGACGGGATCTATTCGACCAGGATCCATCCAATGAGACTGGAATTCCTGATCCAGTTTGGAAGACTGGATCTCAAACTCATGGAACTGTCGAGCATCTGACTATGAGTTTGAGAGAGAGGCATACACTCCATGGCATTGAGTCCACTTGCGGGCTGCTCCATGAAAAGACTGGCAGATCCTGGCAGGTCTTTGTGCACATCGCTGGTTGTCCGGACCTGGAGCAGGACCTGGTTGTCCTGGCTCCATCCACGAAGAACCACCGTTTCCCACCGGGAAACCAATGGAAAACACTATATGGCTTGTTGACCAACCAAGGCCGTTTTTGGTTCACGAACAGGGATATGACTTGCTGCGTTGGCTGTCGATCTGGCGCTATGCTGTCGTCCGCCCTTTTTGGGGGAGAGAGGTCCTTGCGTCGTTTTTGGGTCGACGATGTCGACCCTGTCCTTCCAGGTTTGTGGGTCCATCGTTACTCTGCGTGGCCACGTGCTCTCAGGATGTGGAGATCGTCTATGAGTCGAAATCCGAGCGGAAGAGACACCTATGTCGTAGCCTGAGATTCGTTGGTCGACTCTGATGGGCCATCGTTCCATGATCTTCCATGCATGTTCATCGTATCCCGTATCCCTTAGTAAATGTAGTGAAAGAAGCTCGATATTTCTGATTGGCACTTGCTAGCTGATGGTGTGGCCTCGGGCTGCAACTATCTACCACCGAGCATTAATATGCAGCCTGCATTCTACCCTGGCAGACATTACAAGTTGCTAGGGCGACCCCAAAGAGCACTAGAAACATAGCCTTGCACATCCTGGCACGTCTATTCAATCATCAGGCTTTCTCAAACATTTCCGAAATGATGGTGGGCCCAAAGGGTACAGTTCTTTTCAAACTACACTCCCTGAAACAATCATGGAAGTGGACAATTGCCCCTTGGATGACCATTTTCTCCGACAAACAGGTGCTTTTCCACTTCCATTTCAGGGAGGGTATATATTCTATTCATTTTAGCATCAAACGTACAACCAGTGAAGGTGTTGGACTGTTAAGCCAGCTGTGACACACCTGTTCAGCTTCCTTTCCACCATGTTCAGGACATGGTCCAATCACATCCATCACCCCTAAAACACTCCCTTTTCACTCCCTTATTTGGATCCCATCTTCATCCCCATGTGGCGTAGACGACTCTTCCACGGATCCCCGCACCGCGACAGTGAACCGTCTCTTCGTGGCGATGCTCTGGAGCGATCCGGTGCCCAACAAAGACGGCGTAGGCACCGAACGGGTGGGATGCGGGGTTCACGCCGAACGGTTCGGGCCACATGGCAGGTGAGGGGATACAGTGAATAGCGGGGGAAGGCATGTCGTTTAGAGATTGCATCAAGCTGCCTGACCTTTAAGGCACTTTAAGGCCTACAAACGCAACAAAGACGTCTGCTGATTCGTTCACTGCGATGCTGACCAGAGTTTGCTTTGGCTTGTCCTTGGAGGCCCAAACAAGCGCGGCGCAGGCTCCTATTTTGATGCGTTTCCATCTCAGCAGATCATGCGTATCAGAAGAACATTTAGAGAACGGTGAGATGCGTGATGTGTGCACGAATTAGCCTTGCAGTCATCCAACTGGGAAATTATGTACCATAAGCACCATGTACACATGACAACAACGACCATATTCACTCTGGAAAGGAACAGGCCCGTTAGTAGAATTGGCAAGAGATGCACTGAGGCGAATCACACAGGATTTCTTGCGGCTGAACAAACTTTCGCTCCTGTCCAAAGCCAAGAGGTAACATGATTCATGTGGACAGGCTGGGAACTCACATCGAAGAGACATAGAATATAGATACAGAATGATACAGAAACATTCTCTCAAGCAAGGCTTTCTTTGCGTTTCCTTTTTTGGCATTTGAGTGGTTTTTCAGCACAAGGACATGAGTGGTGGATCGCCTTCATTCGCAACCGTTGTGGATCGTATGTGTTTGGGATGCATCCGAAGCTTCCTGCCTGCCTCAACTGGAGTCACCAGTGACAGGTAGAGTCTCTACTTGGCCAACTCAGGTTGCGGTCGCATGAGAAGCGCTCCCAGGGATATCTGGAGGCATGTGACATCGACAAGTGAAGGGGTTGTTGTTGCTTTTCCACGCACATCACCTGACTTCACCTGACTGGGTTGCAGCTGCCGATGAATTGAAAAAGAGCCAGAGGGGAAGCACACCACCTGCACGTGGGCAGGAACACAGATCGAGCAGGATGGGCTTGATGTCTGCAACGGTCTTTTCCGCCAGCTGCACCCTCAGAGATGGAGTGGTCCGGGAGGAAGTATGATAATGTACGATAATGTGGTGGTTCTTTTGTGAGATGGTGCATGCATATGCCATGCATCATAGCAGTGGAGCGTGACTGCAGATGTGATCAATCAAGCTCCACTCAAGCTGTGATCGCTGCGCCGCTTTTGGAGTTCGGCTGGATTGGACTGAGGCAACTACCCTGGAGGTGCAGGGGAGTCATGTGCCCCAGCGGATCGGCAGAACACATGGGCTGCTTTCCATTCCTGAGCGATGGTCTCACAGCTAGGGAACTCGCAGCTTGGGCAGTTTTCCAAGCCGTTTTCCTGGCGAATATGCGAAGTAAGTGGCAGGTTTGCAAGCAGATATCCGTTCAGTTCTCCTTCCTCAAAGGGCAGGAAGAAACTGGATGTATGACTTAGCGAACACCTTTAGACATGAGTAGACTGTGGTGATGAACAACCCCATGCACTGGAGGGGAACCCATTGCCACCGCTCGACTCGCACGACATACCGGGCCGTCCACCTCGCACTGGTTTTCCCGGCGGGACCCTCTCCCAGCCAGCTCAGCTGTGCCCACACCCGAGGCCGATCGGAAACAAAGCCGCTGTGGTGGTCTTGCGAGAAGAGGCCTGGCGACCAAATGGCGTGTCGTGGGACCATTTGAGTGCATGTAGGCGTTGGTCAATGCACGGAACTTGAAGGCAAAATAAGGCCAACTTGCGATCCAATTGTGCCGCATTGACCTATGGTTACATATCAAGAACTTGCATAATCTTGCATAATTGGTCAATGCCATTTTTGGAGCATTGACCTCTGCCGCATGTTGCCTTGCTCGAGTCCGGGGACTCGATCGAGTCTGCACGTCGCAACACGTGAAGACTGCGCCACGTCGCAGGCAGGTCGGACCTTGGCCTCCACTCTGGTGGGGAAGCCGAAGTGAGATGCGGGGCAGCAAGCTTGCAGCACTTGCAATACGACCTTTCAGATTTGTGTAGGCAGGGTTTGTAGGGATAGAGTGGGTCATGCTCATCATCCCAAGAATTGGCAACAAATGCAACAAGCTTGTCAAAGAGGATCGGAGAACGATTTGCCTTTCCCATCTGGTGAAGTTTCCGACGAGACGAGTACAGTAAGACCTATCTGTTTTTTCCTCTCGCAGGTGCATTTGAGTGACATGCATGTTTTGCTCGGGCGGGGAGGACGCAGAATATATCAATGCAGAATAGAAGCTTTATTGGAACCTCCAAAAGGAGCATTCGTCTATTTTTGGTCTGATCATCCGGGCTCAACACAAAATGGTAGAGAAGTCACGTCCAACCTGAAAATCTCCCAGGGGGATATACCTCAACTTCACATGTTCAGAAGATGTGAGTGAGCATCTCTCCGGCGCCCAGACCACATCAACACCCTGGCGGGAATCATATGATGATTCGTCCTTTTCACTGCTGCTGGCTGAGTTGTTTTTGTGTTTTTTTTCCGCAGAGGTGTTGCCTTTTTTTGTGGAAGACGTGTACTGTATTGTGTCAAGTTTGGTGAGTTGCCTGCTTGAGTAGTGGCACTACATTTTGAAACTTCTGGAATTAAGAAGCCGATTAAAGATAGATCAGATAGATCAAACGGAACAGGTCGGAGACTGAACGACCCAGCCCCACGGCGACTGTCCTGAGTCACTGAGGGCCTCCATGAGCGATGAGATGCGGGCAAAGTTCCAGGAGGCTGAGGCAGTCGGCAGGGTCGACTCCGCAGATCTCCGCAGCAGTCGGCCCACCACAGACACGAAGCTTGATGGGGTCGGCCGTGGGAGGCTGTTTGTGGGTTGGATTCACTCTTTATCAGACTCATCAGTACCCTGGCTGTTCGCCTCAGGCCACTGCGGCAGCCAGGAGCCCAGGGAAGGCACAGTGGATCACAGGAGCGATCGTTTTCAACCGAGGTGGGACCTCGGGCAAGGGCCATGGCCAAGCTGTCAGAGAGCCCAGAGTACCTCAAGGAGATTGCTGGTTTTTGCACAGGAAAAGCCTTGAAAAAATATGAGAAAAACAACAAGGCAGCTTTTTGCCCTCATCAACTTGAAACTGAAGGCAAACTTTTGCAGTGACACGCAGCAGGGCAAAGCAAAACACTCCTTCCATTTTCTTCCAAACTCCAGGAAATTATGTTTTTCACCTCACAGCCGCCTCGACGGCGACCGAAACCGCCACCGGGGCGGCTCGCCGAAGTTCAGGCGAGAGATGATCTACTGCGCTCGACCCAAGCTGATGACCTTTTGGCAGCGCATTGATGCTGCTGGCCAAGGACCGGATCAAGGATTAACGGATTAACGGTTCTTCGATTTCTGCGAAGCGGGTCTTTTCGGTGCGAAAAGAGACATGCATCGGAGTGCCAGTAAAACAATTAGACGAAGAAAGAAGTCTCTGACGTCATTCATTCTCTTTCTAGCAGAAGAGATTCTGTTCTTGTTGAAAATATTTCTTGAGCAACTAGCCAGAACCACTGCTCCAAGTAAGAGTGTAAATTGCTGGCAAACTTGCCCGGTAGCATCAACCAACGGATTCTTCCACACAGGTGCTCGAGCAGTCATGTTAGTTGGCTGTTGCCAGTTGTCCCACAGGTGTGGCACCACTTTCTGAGTGGGCAAAGGCCATGCGTGCTTGTGTGAGGGGTCCCAGATATGTGATGAATCAGTTGTCTTTCGTGTCCAACTACAATATCAATGAGTCCTCTGAGCAGTCCTCTGAGTCCACATGAACACATGCCAATGCAGACCGGTCTGCACATCGGTCCGCACATCGGTCCTGGGAGGGGCGGAGGGGTGGTGGCAGTGGGTCCGATGGCGTACGGATTTCGTGCACCCAGAAATACAATACGAAAAGATATGAAAAGAGATAAATCCGTCGTGGGAACCACGCAAAGAAAGACACTGAATAGGTCAAATAGTCAACCCACTCTGGCAAGAATCGCCATTTAGAACGTGTGTGAAGCTGCAAGATAAAGTCCGAAGATTCCTTCGAGCCAATTCAGACATTTCGACCATTGGTGTTCTGCTCCCTCTGATTTGGTGCCCGCAGCGAATTCGTGCAGTCACCGTCGTTAATTCATGCACCTCTTTATCACCTAGCTGTGTGCATTTCCGCAAGACCTTATCAAGGAATTCACTTTTAATACACATATATATATATATATATAGGGTGCATGTTGTGGTACAGTTCGTGGATGATCTGTGGCGCGGAAGACCGATACCCCTCAAAACCTGGTAGTTGACATGGTGTTTCATTCGATTCATTTGGGCGAGTCTGACTGATGTGGAGTAACACAAAAGGGGACAGGGAGTAACGAAAGGACCCCCAGTGGAAGTGAAGCCAGCTGTGCACACGATCCACCACGGTTGAAAAAAGCGTGGTCGCGGATCGAACGACGCAGCAAGGGGATTGAAGCAGATGGGACCCATCCACTCTCTGACCCACACTGGGGATGGTGTGTTTCATACTTGCAGCTCTTTGGGGAACTTGATCATTGATATACTTTCTGTTGCTGAAGAAGTCCTTCGAATGCGTTGCAAAAGAGTCTGTTCCTGTCCCAATGGAATGAGGCTGGCCAGATACATTGGGCTTATCCTCTTCAATGTAACGGTGGGTTTGACCTGCATTTAAGTGCCAAGGTTGTGGCAGACGACGAGTTTCCATGGGCCCGAGCCCTGGATGGCGTCACCCCAGTGCTGTGCGGTGCAAGACTCCAGACCAAGCTGGAGAACCGGGAGTGGTTGTGCCACACAGATGAGCTTTGCACAACCAGGAATGGCTGCAGCCTATCATGCTTCCCATGGAGCCAATCGAGGAGTCCGGCCAACTGCTCCATCCTCAGCGAACCGGCCAACCGGTCAGTCACCGGTCCCGGCGAGTTCGGTCGAAAGCTGGGTCTGTTGTTTTGCAGGTCATGGAGGGTTTCCTTCTATAGTAGCCAACTCCTGGCAATCTTCTTACATTGCGTCTTCTTTTTTGGCCACACATGCACACTGTGGCGAAAGTGAGTGGCAAACTGGGATGCAAAGGAGGGCTACTCCAAAAGCATCCACAAGCCAGGTTCAGATATTCATTTGAGCTACGTCGTTGCCCTTTGGGCCTACCGCCTACCCACACGGTAGCGGAACAAGGCAGGTCGATTAGTCTGAGCCCGCATTTCTTATGAAAACAAAGCTCTTTTGGATCTCGTTGGGTGCAGGGATTGAAGGGTTGGTCCACATAGTTTGGCAGGGGGGAATAGATGTACAATGTTTTGTGTGAGAAGCTCAGTTTACAGGGGTCCCCAGATTCTCATGCGTACGATGCTCATGGGGTCAAAGCCTTGGTGCAAGGTATGAATAGATCATACATGATATGTATGAACTTTCTTGATTCACACATTTTCAAGTATAGCTTGGGGGCGCCCGAACTTACCTGTAACAGTCGGCAAACAATTCTTGAAAAGAGAAAGGCCTGCAACCTCGCCATCGTCCATTGTTACAGGCAATAGGATATATCCAAAGTATAGTTACAGTATTTGTTTTGGGGGTCACTTCTTTAAGGTGTCCACCTCAACGTGCTCTCCATGAGGCCAGAGACCTTCCACTACGTGAGCTTCCTGACGCAGTACGAGAATGCATTGCCCGAGACGCAGCACGTGGAGTTCACGTGGAGTTGCCGTTGGTTTCATCCAAGCGATTTCAGAGGGTTGTCTGTCATGGCGGGTGGTAGGCTGTTTCACAGGCGTTTGTAGAATTGAAAAAAATCGATACGTAGGGTAGGTCATGGCCGCCAAGAGGGCAGGATGCATGGTCGCTCGTCACTTTCAGCCTCGAGGAGGTCGCACTCGCCTTTCTTTCGCTCCCCTGACAGTGAAGCTAGTCGCCCTCGAAAGGGACTTGTTTTTCAAAGGATGGTGGTCAGGCATCGTGGTAGCATGGTATGCCAAACAGGCAGAGAGTGGTTCACCACACCACTGTGTCTCATGTCTCGGTGCCACGAAAAGAACCTTTTCCATGTCTGGACGAGGCATTCTGGTGGATAAGCGCCTTGTTGCCCGCTGCCCCACAGAGGGCGTCTGATGGAACAGCCGAGCTGCTCCATGGCAGAGATCATCCAATCTCCAAAATTCGAACATTGGGAGACCACAACTGCGTAAAAAACCAACTCCTGGTGAGGGAAGACACCTACGTATTGTAGCTTGTAACCCAGTCATGACAGGGTGTACCACCCAGTTTCACCACCTATTTCGTTCCCACAACGACCACTTCTCGCCTGCAGACCAAATGGTCGTCGTTTCGTCGTTGTCTCGTCTCCTGCAGTGTTGAGGTCCAAGAAGTTGGCGGACCAGTTGCATAGCAGTGCTGTGATTCTGTCGGTGCCTCACATGGGAACTGTAGCAGAGTCTCCTTTTCTTTCCGGGGATATGGATGATATGGGATCTCTTTCTTCTGCGCCACTGCTTTTGAGTGGAACTTGACCATCGACTGTCTTGGTGAAGCAGCAACTTCTCGCCGGGCTTGCTGATTAATAGGAGGATGCAAAAGGCTGAGGCTCCATCTCTCTCACACGCACGTTTTATATCGTTCTATTGTGTTGTTCTCACCCAGCTCCCCGGAATTTTCTCTGTTACCTGTCTCATGGTCTTGGCCTCTGAGGATGGCGGACAACGTCACATCAAAGCAGGAGGCATGAGGGCATCTGGGTCGAGACGACGATCTTCCAATGCAACAAAGAGTTCTCATACAGTATGATCAACCAAGTCAGGAATTGGCTTTTATAGGCATTGCCTTTGACTGACCATCTTTGGCACAGTCCAAGTAGGTCAGACATGGTCAGACATACCAAGAGTTAAGAGGAAACTTATTTTTTGTCCCTCTGATTTGAAAAGGGAGAGGTCATTGAACCTTCCCAGCTCCAATTAGTACCAGTATTCGGATTCAGCACTAAGACAAGACACACCCGAGCTCCAGTCAAAGACATGAGGCTGAGGCGGCGTGGAACCTGATCGATCGCAACGGTGCCTCGGCCGAACGAGCGTGTGCCGTTGTTGCGAGTTTTTCAGAATAGCAGCCATGGTGCAAGGCCTTTTCCAAGCTTTCACTATGCTGACTATGCTGACGCTTTTGTTTTGATGTGTTTTGCCTCTTGAGCATTGGTTCCTGGTTCCTGTATCAGCAGTTCCAGCCCCAACCTGTTGAGGGAGACTCCTTTGCATCGTTCTCTGCCAGCCATCCTGAAGCACAAAAAGCACACCGGAATTGTGCATGTGACCTTCCATTGTGACCTCCGTCCGTAGACAGTTCGTCGTAGACTTCGGCAGGTCTTGTTCTCGGCAGGTTCCCCTTTGAACGTCCTGCTTTTTTCCTCCAAGGTGATGGAAAACTGAGCTACCAAGAGTCTGAGACTTAGTTGGAGACCTCCTAGGCCCTCCCAGGACGTTTCCACAACTTCCACCTGGTATCTAATGATGGTGTCAACTCAGCACAATTTTCCACCAATGCATGTGCATCTACGATGCAGTTCCTCGGTGCACCTGAATTTGAGGATTAGCCACCATCAAAAAGGGTTTTCTCTTTTGTTAGGTTTTGCAGGATGTCAGTAGCGGGTGGGATGTGCTGATTGAATGGATCAGTAGCGCATACCGGAACTCATCTTGCCATGTTTAGCTCCCCAGTGTAATGCGCCTCTGGCTGGAGTCACCCTTCAGGCTCCGGCCGCTGCTGCGCAGCAGCGCCTTAGCCATCAACAACGCATCATTGGAAGAGGTGCCCTGGGTTTTCACCCAGACTCGCAGTTGTTGGGTGATCTATATTTAACTATATTTAGATTGGCTGGAATTACATGCTTATATAAGATGGCTTGGGCATCCAACGCTGCGAACCAAGGACTCTTTCCACCCACACATAGCGATGGCTGCCACTGCATCTCTGGGTCGGGATACTTGAGAAAACCCTCCACTGGCAGGATAGGGTCTACTCCGTCCTGGTGAAGATGGATCGGGATCGCACCGGCTTTGCTGGGGATCCCAGGGTCGCTGGTAGACCATGGCTCTTGCTGCCGAATGCGCCGAAAGGGATGGAATCCGGGTGAATCGAGGGAGCTCCCGATCAACCACTTCATGACACTCCTGGTGGCCACTTTTGCATGCTGGTTGCAGTGGCATGGAATGTCATGAAGTGGCACTGAATGATATCATGTGATGCATTGACCGCCACTACATGCCACTTGAAGTGACATGAAGAGGCACTCTATGGTATCGAGAAGAGGAGAGGAGAGGAAAGGACCAAAGGAGAGGAGACCCTGTAAGACCGCTTCATGTGGAATTATACATGAGCTCCGACTTTATGAGGTACGGTATGGCCTGTTCCTGATGTTGGAACTGGGGAAATCGCTGCCTGAGCCAATCAAAGCTTGGTCAGGCTGACTTTGACAGAGAGCCTAGTGGTGCATCTCCGCTGCGTTCTTGATGGGTTGGAAAGCATCTGTGTCTCGGTAGCGCGGGTTGCCCGACACTCAAGATGAAGACAGACTGTACACAGGCACAGCATCTGACTGTTGTTGCTTTGTGAAAAGTGTGGAGCAGTCCTTGTGAGATGGCCGTGCTGCTTGTAGAGCTTGCGAAGAATGGCTGCTCGGCTTGTAGATTGTAAGGGGTGATCAGCCCAGAAAAATCAGAAAGCAAGCCAAGTAGCTTCGTGCTGGTAGACACAGGGCTTTCAAAGGGCCGTATGTGGAAATTTTTCTTGTTGCCCGGAGAGCAGTTCAGCCGATGGGCAAAAACTACTTTGGTGGTGAAAGACAGGACGACTTTGCCACTCTGGGCCTCTCTGGTGGAGAGCGAAAAGACACTTAAGAAGACTCAGGAACGCAAGAGCCGCTTGAAAAAGCCAGCTTTGATCTGGGAGGGCTAGTTGCTCTCATCACTTGCAAACCCACTTTGCACTGCAAGTGACTGTGCGCGATATAATACCACCCCCCCGATAAAAATGAGCAAAGGATTGAACAAACGATAGCAGCCCCAAACACGATACTTTCCTTAAGAGTCTTGCCGGTCGCTCATCTAGAGTTGGGATATTATTCGGTGACCGAGCCTTGCAGAACTGCGGAGCTACATGGATCTGGGTGATCCAGACCACACTTTGGTAGTTTGTGCTGGAACAATTCTATCCATTTTTAGCCGGGGAAATGGAACCAACACAAACATATAACATGGCTTTTTCGGAACTACTCCGTGAACTAAATCTATAGTGCCATTTGGTGTGAACACGGCTTTTGCATGCAAAACAAAGGACCACTTTGGGACTAGAGACACGTGGGGCTGTCCCAAGGCTAGTGCTACCCGGTAATATTTGTGGGGGTATGTGTGAGTTCATTAGTGTTTCATTGTCCTTATCACACGATCATTTTCCAAGTTGACCTCTGCTTTTCACATTGACAAGACCGAGGCGATGGTTTGCGATGGGACATGACAGACTGTGTTTGCAGGCTTACTTTGGTGTGTGTTGAGCGTTGAACAATCCGTTACTGGTATTGCAGAAAAAATACATTTCTTTCAACAGAAAACCGTGAATGTTGCAGACTTTTCGATGTGGACCGAATGGACTGAGGTGGACAAAGCCGAATTCGTTCGAGCTGTCATGCGTGCGCCCGTCAAAATTTTGCCTTCCTATAGCTAGGAGGGAGACGGTAAGTTCACACTTTCGGAGGTGGTGATGGTCGGTGGAAACCAATTGCAGGAGGGGAATAATGAACTCTCCAACAACGGAACCTTCAAAGTTGAAGTGCAATGGGAACACAGCATCTCCCGCGAGTACTGTTTTTTTTTGGGATAAACATATTCGAGATGTTTGTTGGCCTGTTTAACTTTATCAATGCACGTTATCAGGTTTATCTCGTTATGCAGCCTCACCGGGCACGCCAGGTGCTTTGCAATTCCAGCAGAGCCTCAATCAGGGCGGCAGTACACCGGGCTCGCCGGTCGACTTGATGAGCAACGAAGGAGGCAAAATCAGTTCCGTTGGAGTTTGATTGCTGAGACAACAATAAAAGTGGCCAACGGCGGCCAACGAATGCGACTGGCTTAGATTTTGGTGTCATTTTTGCTCAACACTAACTTTATAATTATGACCCGAATCTGTTAAATCATCACGATGATGCTTGCAAGCCCGGCATTTGGACTGGTGTTGGCGCGCTTGAGCGCATCTCATGTTGTGCAGGCTCTTCTAGCTCTCCTTTGAGTCCTATGCATGCGCTGGGCTTGCAGTACGCAGGGGTCCTGGGCCAGAAGCATCAACAAGCAGAAGGAAAGCGATAAATTTTGGGTTTTGTTTCCGGAAGGAAACGACTCACATCATCCGAGAAAGCGGAGCTGCCACTGAGGGGTCACAGCTGGAGAAGAGGAGGAAGAGGGCTCATGACTTGAGGCGTGCAGCTGGCGGTGTCAAAGAATGTACAGGTGGTTTGGTCTCGGAATTGGGCTTTAATGGGGTGGTTGTTGGACCTATTTCCCTGACAATCTTCGGCCCCCCCCCCATATCTTGAGACGTGCAGTGCACAAGTACCTGATCTTGTTTGATGTATATGTTTACAGTGTAATGTATATACCATAACCACATATTCAGTACATCATGCCTACTTTATGTTATGGAGGTGCCCTGCGTTGTCCCGTGATTGCTGCTGATAGAATGTTAACACTTTGTGCTATTCCGATACTAGCCCGTTGCTTTGCCACTTGCTATAACTTTGATAGGCCTACTATCCTACCACTCATGGACAGCAACCCGCCCCCCAACATGAAGACCATTTTAATTGACAGGGTAGGGTTTTGTGTGTGTGTGTGTCCTAGTTGGTGACAGATCTTGTTCATTAAGTTATTTTCGTTTGCATGCCTCATGCTAGACTGCCAGACTGTACTTGGCAAACATTGCGCCAAATCACATTAGATTATATCTACCACACTGATCCAGTCAGCACTAGATTCTGTTTGAAACCCAAGTTGATCATACGACAGTTCCTGTGCTTGCAAGCTGTTGCTTTACCCAGTTTCACCCCACTGATCGCTTGCAGGAAGGAGCTGGCACAGTGGACAGAATCAGACATTGCCAACTGCTGGGCTTGAAGCTTAGGTCTTCGCAATGGACGAATTTGCGGTCAGATTCCAGGCTTCAACGAAGTTCTGTTCTTAAAGGGCGCCCAGCCAATCGATATCAATCGATCTTCCCTTTAGCAAAGTTCTTTTGGAGGTCTCCCTATTTCGAGAATTTGGGAGGCCGTTGCTTCTAGATTGGAGGCAGGTTGGAGGCTACTAGGAGCAAGGACGCTACTAGGGGCTCCTGGCACTACTGCTCCTGGCCGTACTACTAGGAGCAAGGACGCTACTAACCCAAGTCTACACCGACAGATCGCTCTTCAGCGGGTGTGGCCGCGTACGCCTTCGTCTCCACTTCGGCACCCAGGCGGCCACGCAAGCGGCAATCCGGGCGCTGGCAACCACTTGTGGCCGGGGTGCTTGAAGAGAACTGGCGGGGCTGGTGGGGCTGGTGGTGGATTTGCAACGCGGATTTTGGCCATACGACCAGATAGGGCAAAAGGATGATCCCTTTTAGGATGGGACTGGGATTCTTTAAAGAATGCATTTGTGTGGTACAGCTAGCATTAAATATAGCATTATGGTGTACATATCATGTGTTTCTTCAAGCTCCACCTTTTGTTTGTCCTGGGAAGCATGGGGTTTCTTACAGATTTACGGCTGGAATCTGTTGTGAACATTTGCGCATCCAGGCGGAAGGAAGTAATGCTGGACACAGCTTGTATCTCCTGATTTGAGATTTGCAGAGGCTTGCCACATTCACCGTCATTGACTCTCATGTTTGCAGGGAAATTGATTTGGATGTGTAGGGGCTTGCCCACGCGACCGTCGGGTTGCTCTTCAATATGCGACGTGTGAGTCCTGGAAAGCCCTATATACTTGGCTTGCCTACATTCAGGCTGTGCAAGCTCTGTCTTCCAGGCTCGGGCAAGCCATGCGCCAGCTCTGCAATGAAGCTAATTATTAGTTTGTAGCATGTAAAAACGCGGAATCCAGCTACTGCTGTGCGATTGACTGGCAGCACCTTTTCAAACATTTCTTTGCTTCTCCAAGTGGTCTGACCACCTCTTTCACGTTGAGAGGTGCTTGACGGGGACGGGGATGGTGCCATCGTGGAGATCTCAGCACGGCAACCTTCAGAGACTCAGGGACTCCGGAGGAGTCATGAGAGGTCACAAGTCGGTGGATGGCTATTAGGTTGGAGGCCATTACTTCTAGGCTGGATGGAGGCCATCGCTAGTAGGTTGGAGGCCATCGCTCTTAGGTTGGAGGCCAAACGGAAAAGTGAGGCATTGACTGTCTAGTTTAGCTACATCTAACTACAAATTTGTCTACCCATGGTTGTGAGAAACAAAGACTTCCTTTCTGCTACATTGACATGTTTTGAGTGGTTTCACCACCTTCTGGCACGTTCAAGTAGTCAATCGTCTTCCATTGATTTCTTCCTCGCCTCAGGACCGGCAAGAATTCCAGAAGGGGCTCATGCAGCTCCTTCGAGGCGCGGGCTCCCTCCGCCCCCCGCCCCACCGGTCCTCGCGGTCATCGCGGTCCACGCGACTCCTCCATCACTCCAGGTTCACCTCTCCTCAAAGCCTTCGACCGGTCTGGACCTTCAACCGGCCGACGGTGTGGGAGAGACGGTGGAGACGGTGGAGACGGCCGAGATGAGGTGGGAGCCACTACTGTGGAAACTGGTGGATGAGGATGGTTGGAGCCCAAGAGGAGTTTTAGACTCAAATGTGTTGGGCAGCGACCTAATCATCTCGTGACAGCACAGTTTCACAGGTCCACTCTTGCAGGCTGACGCCTGCCGCTTTGTTGGTGAGGCAGTGGCTTTGTATCTCCACAGGAGCTCAACATGGCCGCACTCTCAGTGATGGGAGTCGGCACCGGGTCTAGCACGTCGTAGTCTAGGCTAGTAGGCAGCTGGATCTGGGGCAAAACATCTCCTTGTTTCATGCCTTTTCTATTCACTGCCTTGGAAGACCCGATGTCGCGTGAGTGATTCTTTCAGTAAAAGTTCTTCTTCCTTAATGGTGTCGGGAGGAACAAAGAAGTGGATCGATTGACCAGCGCTATCTACTTTCTTCATTTTGCAAGTCTTTCAAAGTCCAGGAGTCCATGAACATACCTCCAATATCCTTTTGCCAACTAGCAAACATAGAAGACACCTCAATCTGTTGAGGAAAGATGATTCTTAGCTAACTTAGTGGAGCCATTTTATACACCCCGGCCACTAGACGTATAAAATGCCTCCACCGAGCCTCCACTAAGTTAGCTAAGAACCACCTTTCCTCAACGGATTGGGGTGTCTTCAGAGTGTTCCAGAGTGTTCCACGCCGATAATCGGAGTGTTCCATGGAGGTTACGAGGGGTCAATCGAATGAACAATCACGCGTTGGAACTTTTCTTGGTTGGGAGTACGGCCAAAGTGGTCACTTACCTGGCATGGTGGAAGTCCTCATTTTCAATAGGAGCAAGAAGCTATTAATAACAAGTGCCACGCTACTAGAAACAAGTGCCTTACTAGTAGTAACAACGTTTGCTATTAGAAACAAGTGCCTTACTACTAGGAGCAAGAAGCTATTAGTAACACGTGCCACCATGGGCGATCGAACGGTGAGTTGGTACACGGCCGTCTGTTCCGAAATCATCGCCTGACCTGTGCATGCTCAGGCCTTCTCGGTGCGACAGTTCATGTCCATTTAAAGGCATGGTGGGCACAGGCAACAAGAGTTTCCATCCTTCGTGGTGCCCAAATTCTGCCAACGGGTTCCCACGAAGATGGCTCCTCCCCGCAATGAAAACATCGGGTCAATGAAGGGTTCAACAGATGGAGTCCTGTGGTTGCAGGGACTGTTGGGATATCTACTTGATCGGAGATTCAAAGGACGAAAGGATGTCGGATGTCCATCGATCTGACTGATGCCAGGCGTGAAGAACTACTACTTACAGCCGTGATGTCCTGCCAAAGTGTGGGATAATGAAACATTCGGATCCATTCGGTCAAAATAGCCAGGATGGGGACCCGCTCGGTTCTTTTGGATGGTTTTGGTTGTGACCTGAGACTTTTGCGAGGTTTTTGGGTGAGAGAATGTCGGGGTCCCCACCGGATGACCTGTACAGCGGCAAGACTCTGGGTGCTCGAGAGCTCCTCGGCGCAACCCCGTTGGACCAGTGGAGCGGCAAATCCGTCCGTGTCCATCGCCTGATTCGTCACATCCGTAACGGGTTGTTCTTCTTTTTCACCACGTATTAAAGACGCAAACAAAACGTTTGCAGGCGAATGAACCAAAGGGTTCTAAGTCTGCCTGGACTTGCCAGGTGACCCAAAAAAACTCGAGCCATGGTGACATGGCGCCTGAAGACTTTCACGCTGTCACTGCCAGAGACTTTCAGAAGTAGCCCGTGAAAAGGCATAGCCATCCTGGGATTCCATTCAATTGAGGTCCTGAAATCACTGGGCATGCAACACCCGCGTATGAATGTATATAAAACTGTGTCGAGCTTTGGGCAGGTTTGGGTGCACAGTCTTCATTACATTTGGTACACTGTCCATTTTGGCTCAAGCCAAAAGTGGGACAGTGGAGTTTCTGTTCTGCTAATTTTTGCGGTGTGTGCTGTGGATGACTTCACAGCCTATCGTCGGTGTGCATGTCGCCATGTTCACGGCTGCTGAGGTGCTTTCGTCCGCCGCGTTCATCGAGTTCCGTCGCCAGGTCGATGCCCTTTTGGCCCGGGGGGACCGGGCAGGCGCGATGCGGCTTTGGAGCTCGGTGGTTCTCTTCGAGCACATGCCTCCGTCTTCACGCCCGGGGGACGGGCCAGCTGGTTTCCCCCCTATGCGGATCTCAGTGCGTCCTAAGAGTGCCTGCCCACGGTGCGATCAGGGGCGAGGGGGCTATGTTTTCCCGTGGGTCGGGAGTTGGAACCGGCGCGGGACGATCGTGCCATCCGGGTTCACTCCTCAGCAGGCCTGGGATAGGCATGCTCGGTTGGACGCCAACATGGACCTCCTCTTGTTGCAGCCCTACCGTACCCCGTACTCTGCCGAAAATTTTGTGCCCTCCTATCTGTGGGAGTTCCAGCAGAAGGTTCCTGGGGATTTTGACCTCTTGCCCCTGCAAACATTTCAATCTGAAGTTCTCTATTATATGCGACACTGGATCATGGGATCACCGCATGGGTTGTGGTCCAACCCCTTTCGTGCCCCACTGCCAGATCTTGAGCATCTGCCGCGCCACCTGGAAGCTCTTCACCCGAAGATTCGTGCCCATCGAGCCCTTCGTGGTCTTCCACTGGCCGTTACATCCTTCAATCGGTACAGCCGTCTTGTAGAGGCCCTGGGACGCCGCCTGTGCTATGTCCTGGTTTCGCTTTACTTCGATGATGCATCTATTCAGGACTGGTCTTCGAGCCGGGGTTCGGCTCAATGGGCATTTGGAGCCTTGAATCAGCTTCTGGGCACCCCTTTTGCAGCAGAGAAACGCCAGGCTATGCGCCCCAAGGGGTTGTTTCTAGGCCTTGACCATGACCTTTCGTCCGCACTATCTGGTGGCTTTGTCTCCTTTTGGGCGAGGGAACGCCTGGAAACCAAGTTGAAGGCCATTATCCATGAATGCCGTGCGACTCAAACTCTCAAGCCCGGTGTTGCAGCTAAGCTGTACGGACTGGCTAACTTCTTCGAGCAGGGCGTCTACGGCAGGATAGGATGTGGAGGTCTCCATGCCATTAAGGAGCGTCAGCTTGTCCGAGGTGATCAACTGACTCCTGCTATCGAACAATGCTTTCAAATTCTCGAAGCAGTACTCTCTATCCATCCGGAGCGTGAACTTGATGTCTGGCCGAGACACCATGAGCGCTTTGTGGCAGCGTCTGACGCTGCATTGGAGACCCCCGGTGAAGGGACAGGTGGTTTTCTCCTCGTCTTCTTCCACGAGGACACCGAGAGCCGGCTTGGATTTGTTTCCTATCTCCCACCGTCCATCTACGTTCTTTGGACCCCAGGAGAGGCTAAGATCGCACAACTAGAACTTTTGCAGGTCCTCGTGGCATTGACTACCACACCTGAGCGATTTCGCAATCGCCGTGGCACATGGTACATAGACAACACTGCTGCCTTGATGGCGCTCATCAAGGGAAGGTCAGACAGCCCTGACCTCGAGCACATGAGTCATATGATTCACATTCTATTGTTTTCACTTAGATGTTGGATTTACTTTGAGTGGATCCCCTCCAAATCCAATTGGAGTGACGCCATTTCCCGTGAGGGACATGCGGATCGTTGGCGCCACGACCAGGGTTTCACTAGTCGGGAAGCCACATTTTTCGAACCACTCTGGTATTTTCCCTTTTCCGTCACTCTGCGAGTCGGTCTCTTTCTTTGAAGTGCGTTGGGAGAAATGCATTGGGTAGATACATCGCTATGGATACGTCTGGGTGGACGAGTCTCCA